CTGGCTTATTTGCGTGCTAAAGCCTAAGAACGACGAGAGAATGAAGCAAATGTTTTCACGTGACGACGTCGACAACTCAACTGGGTGGCGGGGAGGGGGGAAGATACATCACCTTTCAGGGACATCAGAGTTTGAAGGCAGCGTGGTGACCTCACGCTGATCTTGGATGAAGCGGCCACGTGATTTTAGGCCCGACACAAGAGTGCATGCATTCTATTAATGCGGAGTTTTGGAACACAACCGCGGGATAGTAAAAGCGTGTTCGTCTAGGTAATAATTAATGCAATATCCTAAAGTACAAAGGCACGCGAAAATGAGACTTGTTTTTGTCAAATCCACACAAGGGAGGTACAGAATTTTGCCCCAAAAACTGGACAAACACTAGACCTTACCTGTTTTTCAGCGTAGATCGTGATAAACTCGAGGAAGAAGTTGACGTAGTAGCCGCTGTAGAAGCCGTGCCACACCGCCAAGAAGATCAGAGTTAGGCATCGAGATAAGGTCTTGTTGCCGAGGAAACGCAGTCGTTTGTAGACGTACCTACAAGTCAAGGATTGCATGACGACACTTCGGTGATGGTGAATTAGTTAACCGAGGAGGTCAATTCAACGAAAACCGCTGAAGTTTTACTACTCGAAATCAACTTCTGGAGTTTAGGGCAGACTCGATGTTTGCGACCAGTGAATTTGCGCTGCTCCTGTGTGCATTTTTCGTTCCAACCTCAACATACCCCTCAAAATGTCGTTACGCTGAAACGGCGCCACGACATTGTCGCCTCTCAGTGGACTGAAAATCTTGCCACAAGTTGTATGTGTCGGTGATTGTTACGAACATGAAGACCAGTGGACAGATGGTAGGACTGCTAACTACTTCAAGCTGTAATAGGGGCGATATCTTCCATTTGCTCGTGAATGGGAGACGAATCCACTGCAATCCGAAGCTCTGTGAAGTGCTAGGGCCACTGGACGAAGTACCAGAGATTGTTGGCCCATGGCAAGATGCTGTGATTATTTGGTTCAATTACCACTGTCGTTGGGATGTGGTGACGCCGTTGGAAGGTGAGGAAAGCCCTGGTATTCGTAAGTACAGTCGTGGATGTCTTGAAGTTCAAGGTACACCTGCTGCAGAAAACGGCAGCGATCTAGCTCGCAATTAATGGGATCACGACTCACGCGTTCATGATCGACCATGAGCAATTAAGACTTCACGACCGCATTGACTGTAGTGAGGGATCTACGAATCTAACTCTTAGTATAACACTACACGGACAAACACGGGCGCCAGTTGATTTGACTGTAGGATTGGCGGAGATGTGGTGCCAACTGTGACGGTAGACACGAACTTGACCCAATTATCAGAATCGAAACGTCGAAATCGACCATCACCACCGCAAGGGCCTTACTCAAGCATCCACTTGTTGGTGTTGATGTTGAACGAAGACACGAGGAGGTCGGTGTTGGTGGCGGATTCGAAACGCACCACCGAGATGTTGGCACAACGCGTGTGCTGCGCCTCGGTGACGGTGGCTCGACCATCGCGCACCGCCTCGTCCAGCTCCTTGAAGTCGAAGTCACTGGCCGGTCGAAAACCACCCGTGGCACTGCTGCTGAGGACGGCGGCTTTGCGGAAACGCTGACCGAAATCGCCCGCAGTGTCGTCTGGCTGGCTGTCCGTCTGGTTATCCTTGTAGTCAACGCGGATGCGTCCGGTACACCCGAGGCCCAGCAGCACACAGGCGCCCTCCTACAAACCGAAAGGATCCAATGTTTGAGTTTTCGTTTATTGCTGTCCAACCAATAGGAAGCGAACAAAACTGTTGCTCCGCCAACTAATAACTACTGCACACCCAATATTCCCCATTTAACAGTACCGAAGTTGACACGTGTGTAGTCAACATGGCAAGAACCACAATGACACAATTGAAGTTGGATCCTGGGAATTCGCGTACACTGCTTCCTTTTCAAAAGATTTCAGAGAAGGGTTTTCGTGACCTCCAGCAGTCGCAATAACCGAAACGTCCGGTATTCGCTAAAGTATGCTTGTTTAAATCGACAACACAGAGCGATTTTAAACCCCGACCTTTCCAGCCAATAGGAAGAGAGGGAAAAACTAGCCGGTCACAGTAGGGCAACATGTGAAATTTTGAAGTGAGCAACAAATCTTTGACTTGTGAAGAATAACGAACAGTGCAGAACAGTAGGGTGCACTCGATAGGGTCAGCCTGTCCTCAAACTCAAGCAATCGATAAATGACAACCGACGGCACAAATTGGAACACCCTAAATATGCAACTGTGGGATGAAAACGTAAAAAAACTAATGACAAACTCACTCCAATGAGCCAAATAGCCAGGTAACGCATTATCAAGAACTGCGAGTAGATGCACATGTAGCCGATACGATAGAAGAACCATTTCTCCTGCAAAAAGAAACAATCAAAATCGGAAACAATGAGGTCAAAACAATACGCCCTTGCTTCGGTGTTTATGGCGAATGCAGTAAGACTGGGATTAGTTCCATTACTAACAAACAGGTGGAGACAGTCCATATGGCTATCGGTTATCACAAATACCAATTTAATCAATAATCGGTTGTTTCACTTAACAGTAAAGGGAGGAAATAAGCGGCAGAACGGCAAATTGCAAGCATATTTAAAGCACCTTGATTCATAAAGGGGAATCGATGGATGCATGTAAACACAAGATGCAAAATTCTTATAAGTTGGTACGGAAACTAGCAAGTACACCGCCAGGCCGAATAATTAGTGGATGTTGAAGGGGGACGATATGCACCTTACCGACCCCGTGTTGAACTGTACACACTCACAAAACACGCCACTTGCTCTTGACACACACACGCACATCAAAATGAACTTATTCGGTAGAGAGGAGAATTCAATTGTAAGCAAGAGGGAACTGTAGCGTCAAAATAATTAAAATTTTGTGACCGAGGAAACGGGTACGCAGCCGGGAATAAGGCGGTTTCCTTAACTCTATTAATTGTGAATGCCCATTTAGGCTACTAGTAAAGTGGACAAACTTGCCTACAATATGCATGGTTAAAGCACATTTTTTAAAAATGATGCTATGAGGATGGTAGTTGCAGAAATCCTTGCCGGTAGGTATAGAATATACTTCGTTTGAAAGACTTGAAAAGTACATACCTTGAGAAACTCTTTGGAAAGCATATAATCCATTGGAAAGTAGGACAAGGAAAAGACGTAAAGTGCGATGAATAAGACCCCAGCCGACAGTCGGCTCAGTGTTCGATGCAACCTAAAAGTCACAAATACGAGTTGCGAAATCTGGCGGCAATGATGTTAGATAATTGTACCAATAAGCTTAAATAAAGGCTAAGGAATTTCAAAATTTCAAGCACCAAATTCAGCTTACTTTGGATTTAAAATGTATTTCTGTATGGTAGTGCGGTTCTTTAGCACAATTTGCGGTCGCAGGGTTTGATTGATGAACGACTGGTAGTGACGCCAAGTAAACTATGATAGAAAGGGAAAAACAAATGCGTAAATTTTAGCTGGCTAACTACCCAAACAAATTACAGGCTTAGGTTTTTTACATAATCAACCGACAGTGCTGTCTTGTAATGATAACATGCATAGCTAGTAACATGCATTGCCAATAACAATTCATTAATTCACACACACCAAAAAACAAATTCACGACAGCAAATAAATAGTAGACAACAAAACGAAAATTGAAAAGTTACGTAGACCTATATTTGGCCTACCAAGGACCATTTATAAAGGACACCACGGTTACTGCTAAAACGCACCTGCGGGCCAGCAAAGCAAGCAGTTGGCATGAAACAAAACGACAGAGCTTCTAGTGGATCGGGCAGGGTTTTAATAGCGGCGCCTTTTTGGTACACTGACAACTTATCCACAGGAAGGCTGCCATCGCGATAATCCCAAGCCAAGCCAATAAGTCTCAAACAAAGAATGCAATATGGCATTGTCCAGTTGATATCATACGTTCCGTAATTCATAAAATAATAGCCAGTCAGTAAATAAGCCTAAAAATGAGCCACTGTTACTGTGGAAGAAGATACCATGTTTAGGACGAACGTCAGTGCAACGCTGAGGCTAGTTGGCCCAAATAAATGAAGAGTTGCCAGAGTTGAAAAGATTCCGATTAGAAGGTGGACAACATCCAAGCCTAATTGATTACGAATTCTATAAATACCTACCGTAATTCCAGCATAGCAATAGTGCGCCCGAAATTGCAAAATATGTGTGTGCTGCCCGCGACGAATATTTTCGCAAAAAAATAAGATATACTACAGAAAGAGGATATCCTAAGTGCCATTACGTGGAAATGAAAGACATTATACCGAAGCATATGGCCAAAAAAAATCTGACGGAAGCAATGTCGTTGCCAAGCCGCTCCGAGAGGTAGCCGGCGAACCAGTCTAACGGATTCCACCACGAAATCATCATACAGTAAAATGCACACTTGGGTTAGTGTTTATGCATAATAGGCTGGTCAAGTCAATTTATACTTTGTGTGATGATTGGCGCAAAAATATTGACATGAGTTAACACTATAGAATTCTGTAACATAATATTTTTTTTGTTTTCAGATGAGACTCAAAATTGTGAATGTGCTTACCTAACAAAATTTAAAATATTGTTAGGTTTAGTAATCCTAATTCAACAAGAAGAGTTGATGCAAGAATGTAAATTATTTTGACCATGGAAATTAAAACGATTATTTCGAAATGGTCAAATATTTTAAATCCGAACTTCACTAAAAAAAATTGGTTCAATAAAAAGTTTACCGTGAAAGCCTCTGGCGATAAAATGGCGTCTATTTGAATAAACTTGAGCTGATGATATTATGATATTAGTTAAGTACATGTTAATCCATGTAGAAACAATTCATTAATGGCCGAGATTCCTCTTTAGTTTGAATATTAAGCAACCAATGCACATTTTCACTAAGCAGGTTAGTTTACTTTGGTCAAAATGTAAACACTATCACTTAGTTCCGCATATGGCTCCATTAATAATTTAAAATTTTTCAGCGTATGAGAAAAAAATTTGCGCGACATAAAAAAAAGCTTTCCTGGAAGCTGTTACGACTGGGTCATTATACATGAATCAACACAGTTCACTACAAGCCCATCATTCATCCTCCAATGGTCTGAATGAGCGCCAGCCCTACAAAATGAATTAATGCATTATTTAAAAACAGCATATTCCAACTGGGCGAACCTGTCATCAGGCCTATTTTTCTGGTTTCAAAACACTGCTAATAACAAACACTATTAACTTAATTTAGTACTTACTTACAACCCTCCTGTTAAAAGCCCGCAACTACTCGAGAAGTGGGAAGAAAGGAGGCGACAGAGAACACGACTGTTTATTATTGTGACGACAGTCAAGTGTTTTTATGTGCGTATGTGTACGCGTGCATAACAGACGAATGCTAACAGAAGCTGTAAGTTGTTGGTATACTCGGGCCGCCATACACGCATTACTTACGCGAGGTGGCTGTCTGTCCACTACAAAGCTCCCATGGATATATAGCAACACACCAGCACTGTTTTAAAAGATAACGGTTTTATTTGTGGCGCCACCGAGGTAGAATTGCATTTTTTTGGAATACAAAACAGAATATCCCCAGAAATCACAAGAGGAGATCACGAATCACGACTGATCCTACACTTGTTTAAACACGGAATTCGTGTGCCACGATTCTTTAAATATTTCGAATCAATAGTCTTTGTACAACTACAGATCAGGTGAAGGAACGCCGCCCTACTTGACTAGTTGTACTTGTTATTGAAATCGACCGGTCGTTTTTTTGTGATTCAAGCTTTGAGTGGCACTTCTTTTTGTCTACAACATAAATAGGCAGCTTTTCTTTTTGACTTCAACATAAATAGATAGAAGCTTTCCTGAATGACCCTATGAATCGTCATAATCTTGTTTAAACCTGCAAATGCCAGCTAAACTGCAAAAATGCAGCTAAAAGTTACATAATGTTCGGTTACTAACTGAGATTTAGACAAGTGGATATAGTGACACGTCGGAAAGACCGGCTTTAAGCAGAATATACGTGAACTATAAAATGCCGCCCTTCTACCAATTGCCTGCTAGGTCGCGTGCATCAGGATGTGTGAAACTACAGTTTTTTGGTAGAACGAAGATTCAAGACAGAACTAAAGGCCAGCTTCCTTACTGTGAAGATGTTTCGAAGAAAATCACACAGCTGAGCCAATCCTTAGACTGCGCGTTTTAATGGCCTACTCTGAAGACCATAAACCAATCGGGGATTAGAATGGATGAGATGGATGGTGTCTGATTGGTCAATAAGTCCTGATTTACCTGGCCTTTTATGTCAGACAAAATGCAAGCTCACACATGTCCACAGCAGCGATTAGGGCGTGGTAAGACGATTGGTTCATGAACCTTGCAGGTTTTAATAGCTGCTAAACATGTGTCGAGGTCATGCTCAGGTTTCCCAACAAGCATTCAAAACAACGAATTTTGCAAGCTGTTATGAATCATGCCAATAGATTAACTTTACCACCAGTCTTGATAGATCGACGTTTAGTGTGTCTGCTGCGACAATTTTGAAGGACTTGAGTGCTTCTTTGCGAAATGGCAGGTCAAAGCGTTAACTAGTTATTTATGGCATTAATAGTTTCAATAGAGTGGCACAACTAGTGTCGTTAATTCCTTGGCCAACATTTTGTGGTTTGTTCTGGAGAGCGATACAAGAATGCAGACAAATTAGACCACACCGAGCTCAGCCAATCCCGAGTCTAGGAGACTAAAGGGCCTACGAGTAAGACCAGTGGCCAATCAAAGACAAGGATGAATGAGAAGCACTATATAATGGATGATCACCAAACGGTGGTTCTGGTCCGTGGATGGACAATAAAAAATGCTTCGTTGTACCCGTCTTTTTCATGCTAGAGCCCTTGTGTAGTTTCCTAGCTGCTAAGTGACAAATAACGTGGATTCTCACTAACTGAACGATGTCATTTCGCGTGGCGCCTCGAACAATCAAAACTGTTTCGTGTTGGTGGCGGCGAATGTAAATTGAATGTCAAGAAGATCGCATGGCTCGAAACTCGTCTTGAGGAATAGCGTAAACATCAGGAATTCCAAAATTCTCTTTAAGAGAAACGGAGATTTATTACATGCTGACGCAACCGAACGCACCACAATCTGTGAAATTGCATAACCAACGTTTCGAAACGCACATAGAGCCAACTGTTTTTATTCACAATTTATTGGTTCGCTGGCCATTAAAAAAAGATCGGCGACATTATATTAAAACAAGAATCCACCAGAAGAAGGTTCCAATTACCCATCCCTCCACCAAATTTATCCGACGCTAGTGGAGTCGCCAGAATCATCGGGCCGTCGCGGAGCAACGACGCGTCCCGCCAGCAGAAAGAGAACCCAGCTCAGGCCCAGGTACCACAGCCGACCTGGTGAGAGAAGGAACGCCAACCACCCGTAAGGCAGCAGAGCCTCAATGACAGCAAAGCTAACTTGAAGCAGGCTGAGT